AGGGGCTACAGAGATGGCTCAGCAGTTAAAAGCACTTGATACTCTTCCTGAGCACCTGGGTTTGATTCCAGCACCCACATCAGGCAGCTTATAATTGTCTGTAATGCCACCTCCAAGATTTTTTAGATAAGATACCCATACGCCATTTCACTCTGTTTCCCCAATTGATCCAGCTTTTCAAGAAATTTGAGCTGTGATCTGGTATCAGTAGACAAAATGTAATTTTCACTTCCCTTGTAAACAGTCATTCGATGCCTTCTCATTGGTTGTAAACCCAAGCACATGACCGCCTCGTCACGGCCTGTCTGTATAGGCCTCCAGGTTTTCCATGATTGGTATTGAGATTAAAGGCATGTGTATCCAATACTGGCTGTATCCCTGAACACACAGAGACTTACCTACCTCTGCCTACCAAGTGCTGGAATTACAAGCGTACGCCACCACTGCCTTGCTTTCCTGTGGCTTGCTAATAGCTCTGACCCCTGGGCAACTTTATTTATTAACATACAAATAACATTTTAATACAAATAAAATATCACTATATTTCCCCTTTTCTATTTTAATAAAAAGAAAAAAGGAAAAAGCTTATAACTAACATAAGAAAAACTATATACAAAAGTACAATAACTATATACAATATATACAAGTAATAAATACCTAAACAATGTCTAGTTCATTTGTATTTGACAAATTCAGAGAAAATAATTCCATTATCTATCCTATTGTATCTAATTCACTTTCTATCCTAATTAATCTTCAACTGTAACTAACTAATCTTCAACTCCCTCAGAGACCCAAGAAGGAAATAATATTAGCTAACAAAAATAAAAACAGGAAGTATATGCAAGCAACTTCCAAAAAAATTGTGAGTTGACAGAAACAGCCAGCTGTCTGGACAGTCACCTGAGGTTTCTCCGCAGCGTTGGGGCATCATCTTCAGCCTATAGGCTTAGTGTGTTTGACAGACTCATTTGTGAAGTAGGATGTACACAAGGTCAACAGTTCAACCTCACATTGGGTGAGAGCAGTCTATCTACCAGAAACACCTGAATTCATTGCCCTCTTCTGGCCCCTGTGGGCACTGCACACAAATGGTTACACATATATGCTCTCTCACACACACATGCACTTAAGATGAATATATATATATATATATATATATATATATATTAAAATATTGTTTTAATGCCAAAACTAATATGCCCAATGCTTTTGAGACTTTTTTACTGTCTTGCCTCAACCAAAAAATACTTAAGTCACCCTAACATTAGTACATGTTCTCAGTGAGGCTGAATGAGACCACGGACATTGTCTTCTCACCTTTCATATTGTGTCCATCTTGTGGGTTATCCTGTTCTTCACTGTTCTCATTTCTGTGCTTTTTGTTGACAATTTCACTGCCTACAGTGGTCATGAAACACAGAGCTGAGTTCTGCACAATGGTTCCCCGACACAAGAGGGCTATAATGCTTGATAAAGACAAAATATGCACATTAGGTCTGCTCTGCACAGGTAGTAGGGACAGTGTTATTGGCCATGGATTCAATGCCAGTGAACCAACAATATATATTAAGTGTGATGTCTCTAAGCAGAAACCATGGTTGTTTGCTAATGTGTTAATGAAGCTGCAATTAGAGGCACCTAATCCCATGTCTCCCCTAGAAGCTATGGTCTGTGTTTGTGCAAAAAGCTCAAACGTGGTGACTTGATAGAACACAGCTATTGTGAATAAGGAGGACTGCCTGTTTAAATTAACCGATGCCCCAAACACAGTTAAATAAGGGTGAGTCTGAGTGTACGCGTGCAACGTTATGGAAAAAGTCATTACAGAGGGGTTGCTTTTGAATCCAGTCTTTAAACATATGAGCAGAAAAGTTCAATGGAATGGTTCTGGATGGCAGATCATTGGAGGATGGGGGGGGGGGGGACTATGTGTGAAGAAAGGGGGATGTGAAAGGCCTGACAAACCGAGCAGCTAAAAGAGCAATGGAGTCAGAGAGTTTTAGTCAGAAACTAAGCAGGGGCTCTTAGTCACTGCAAAGTTTCTGCATAGTTTAAGCTATAGTTTTGGTATCAAGGAAATATGCAGCATGTCAGCTGTGAAAATTGGCTCAATATTCATAATCAAATCTATTATGCTCCCGCTGAAGCCTGGCCCATGTTTCCGTAGAAACCCCTAGTTACACAAAGGGAGCCTGGCCAGCCATTGGCACGGAAGCTCAGCACCCCTGGAGGCCACTAGAGTAATGCCAGAGGAGAAAGTACCACATAATTCCCGGTGAGACCAGTGATCTGGGACATCAAAAGTATTGTTAGCTTGTAGCACACAGGACAGATAGAAGAGAGAGCACCATGGGAACAGGATGCAGAATCCTTCAGTCTCCTCACCATGCCTTCACCTATGAAAGACCCTGTCTACCAGTAAGTCTGAACTTAGCACTCACTTGACATCCAGTATGATTCAGGGCACACAAGAGGATGCCATTCTAAAAAAAAAAAAAAAAAAAAAAAAAAAAAAAGCTTTTCTTAGCCTGGCGGCGGTGCACTCCTTTGATCCCAGCACTCAGGAGGCAGAGGCAAGCACAGCTGTGTGAGTTCGAAGCCAGCCTGGTCTACGGAGTGAGTTCCAGGATAGTCAGGGCTACACAGTGAAACCCTGTCTCAAAAAAAAAAATAATAATTCATTTTTAATTCATAAAAATTAAAAAAGCTTTTCTCTCAGAGTTCTAAAACAATTGATATATGCCCTCATATCAACCTCCTAAAGCAGGCTTCCTAATTCCCATCTTGTAGAAAACAACACCAATGACAGAGTCATCTTTTTTAAGTTCACACTGCTTATCCTAAAGACCCTTAAGGAATCATCAGTTTCTTTACTTGAGACTCGGAGGGGGAACTCTCCGCAGGGCACCCTGCTGGGTGTCCACTCTCTGCTGCAGTGTGCCCAGTCCGATGTGCCGAGGCATCTACCTTCTTCCTCTGTATGAACTGTTCTTGTCCTTTTTGCTGCCTGTTGAAGGCTAGGCCATCTCTCAGTTTAGCAAGACCTCCAGAAGCTTCTCCTCACATGGTAATCCCTTCTATTGCAGGTCTATATGGGCACCATCTTCATTCCAACGACTTTCCTGTTCCGTCTTGTCACGGCCTGGGCTGGCAGCTTTTCTGTGTCATCAAAGGCCTGGGACAAGTTCTCATCCCATCATTTAGTTAAGTTCCTGGCATTTGTTTGGTGTGGTCTATCAAAACAGAAACACCCACCACCCAAAGAAGATGTCCTTGAAGTTAGTGGAATTGAGATAGTAAAGTTCAAGGAAACAAGCATATGCTGCGAATGAATACCATCTGAAATACAATCTGAACTTACCTGCCCCTAAATGACAGTTTAATTTCACTGTAATCTTTATTATGATAACTTCTGGACCTATCATTAGCATTACTGATAAAGTTGAAAGACTATTTCATCTGATTATTGTGTCTTAGGCAACACTTAATTATTAAATTCCATACCGATAATTAGAAAACCCTATTATTTCATAATGGGCACAGGAATACTACACAGGTATCCCTCAGTTACTGAGACAGAAATCACCTCCAAGTGTGCTAATGTGAGATCTCATATATCAGGTAATCTCTACTCACCAACGTGAGCTGCATTCCTAGAGATGGAGAGTGTAAAATGAAAAGTCTGCTCAGCTCTGGAAATGATGGTGTTCTGGGTATGAGGGACATCTTGGGCGGATTCATTCATGACCTTCCCTATGCCTGGCCAAAGTTGAAGGTAGACAGAATAAGGAAAGGAAAAAAGACGCTAAGATAGAGGGGTGTGTGTGTGTGTGTGTGTGTGTGTGTGTGTGTGTGTGCGTGTGTGTGCCTTGCAGACCCCCCAGGTGGGACTGCTCTTTTCAGTTAACCAGGGAAGATCGCTATAAAATCTCTACCATGTTAAATTTTCAGTGTGTCAGTGCTGTGTGGACTGCCATAGCTTCTTCAGATAGCGGGTTTGTATGCTGGGAACAGAAGGAGGAAGAGCCTGGGGCCCCCAAAGCAAGCAGCTTAAGGGAGAGTGTCCTCAGGCGCTGTCCCCTTCCTGAGGCCAGGATGAGTCCCCAAGAAGAATTTGCTCTACCTGAGTCTCCCTGAGGCTCTGACAATGTTTGTCTCTGACAGACTCCCAGGAGCTGCTTAGTGGAGTGTTTGGGTCAGTTTTGGCAAGAATTCAGACAGGGTCTGGGCGGGCACACCAACAGGGGCTCTGACTCACACAACCTGTTGTCCTCTGGGTTTCCGGGATCTCCCTGTCTTCAATGCACAAAGCCACCACGGCAGATGTTTTAAAACAATGATCCGGTGACAATGACAGTTGAAGCTACTTTCTCCTTACACCGGAGAATTTTAGACTTACTCTTTAGAAAACCGTTGCATTTCATAGGCTAAGCATTTGGGAAGGCTGTTTTATTTTTTAGGGAATCCCATCCAATAACTGAGGCCCTTAAGGCTAGGTGTGTGTGTGTGTGTGTGTGTGTGTGTGGTTAGGCTAGGCCAGATAGGAAGGTGTGAGAACTAGCAGGGTTCGTAATCCAAAGTAACTTGAGAGCGGGTGGGGGGGGTGGGGGTGGGGGACGGGACGGCTAGGGTTTGGGGGTGATCCGGTGTGGGCACTACTGTCAGTGTGGCTGTATGTCAGTGGCTTGCCGGGATTGTGTCTTTTGGGGGGAATCTTTTTGTTTGAAGGGGAAAGGTGGGTATGGAGGAATTCGGGCCTCCTACTGAGTAGCAAGGCAAGTGAGCCAGGCCGAGGGACGGCAGGGTTACCATGAGCCGGGAGAGGCAGTGCTCGCTCCTGGGTGCAGCTCCTACTGCTTCGTCTAGCTAGAAGAAGAAGGGAACCCGGCTGGGCTGCCGGGTGACAGCCGGGTGGGATTCCCGGGCCAGGGAGGGGCGGGCCGTGGGGCGGGGCCGGGGCGGGGCGGGGCGGGGCTGGAAGCAGACTTTCGGGCTGCGGCTGCCGCGGGAGAGGCTCGCACAGCGGCGGAGCGGGCGGCCGAGCGCGAGCAAGGCGGCGGCGGGGACAGCGGCGACAGCAGCGGCGGCGGCGGCGGCGGCGGCGGCGACTCCGGTGAGCGTGGTGCGGACGGACGGGGCTGGGGCGCGGCAGGGAGCGCGGGTGGGGAGCCGCCGCGAAAGGCGCTGCGGGGCCGCGGGGGGCCTCCCCGGCGCCGGGCATGGTGGAGCAGGGGGCCCGGCCATGGCCCTCCTCGCCTGGCTCGCGGCGATGCCCTACAGCTCTGGGCGAGGGAGGGAGGGAGGGAGGCAAGCTCGACCCGGTCTTGAACCCTTCCTCTTGATTCCCGAGAGTCGGAGAGGTCTGTGCGTCCATTGCTCTCGCGCGCGCCGGGACTCTCTCCTGGTTTTATTCCTTTTCCTGACGACTCCCTGCACCCTCAACCACTCCCACCCCCAAGAACCTTCATCCCCAGAGCTATTCTTCGGGAGACCCCCCCCCAGTCTTACCCCTTCGGGTTCCTTTGCGGGGGCCCCTGCTCCCCATCTTTCTGCAACCCCCGAGGCATGGGTGAAGCCCGCCCTGGCCCGTGCACACCTGGACCCTTCGGCTGCCACCTGCCACAGAAGTGCTTAGCCAGCAGGCCAACTGCTGTGCCTAGGACCTCGCCTCCGCTGCATTTACTCCCCCTCACACCAGAACTCCTAACTGGAGTCCAGAAGGAGGAGACTTTTCCAGGCTGGAGCTTCGGGAACAATTTGACCCACTTCCCAAGGCATTGGTCTCAGGCCAGCCATGCTTTTTGGTAGACACACCTGTCTTGTTTGCCAGCTGAGGGACTGACAAGAATGCCCTCTTGTCAAAATGTACCAGCCCATCCTTGAGTCTTTCTCCCAAGCTGCTAAACTTTCTGGCCTCTGTCCCCAGAGACAAGGTCCAGGGCCTTTGGCATTGAAATCTGCTCAAGCTCTCACCCTCACCCCCAACCCCCCATTCCCGGGAAGATCTCCGGAATTCTGTCAGCCATCATTGGAGAGGAAAGGTCCAGTACTGTTAGTGCCACCCTTCTGGGTTCTGGGCATGGTTTCTTCTCCTCTGTGGGTGATTCCCTGCCTGCTCCTTAGAGAACCCCAGGCACAGTCATAAGGCTCCCACAAGCTTAATGGTTTCCCTGTTAGAACTTTCCCTGCTGTCCACAGTCACCACCTCCACTAGAGTGACCCAGGCCATCTGCATAGTGTTGGGTCCCTGGAGCATGGAAAGCTGGGCTGGGACCATGCAGGACTGGGACCTGTGCTGGGCAGAAAGGGGGGGGGGCGCGCGCCTGTCCGGGCCTCCACTTGGGAAGACCAGCCTGTTCCGGTTGTTCACAGTGAGACTGGATGTCACATAACTCCTGGACGGGTTTGAGGGTTTCATGTCAAGAGAGGAGGCAGAGCAGGGGCTGTTTTTCCTGCCTGTTTCTGCCGGTCTTGTGTTGCTATGGTGACACTTTTGCCTCGTCCTCCCCCTGACTCTTCTGGGAGCTGGTTTTTATTGGTCTGTTGTCCTGTCTTTTATGGCTCTAATTTCTTCTTTCTACTTGCTCTGAAATAAACAGTCATAAACATGGGCATTGGGCCCAGGCTGGGGGCTGGCAGAACTTCACCTCCTGAGGATGGGGGGGGGGGGTGGACCTACCATACTCCTTCCTGCTTCAACTCTGGGGAGGGGACAGTATAGTAGCATCCCAGGTGGGGTGCATGATTGGTAACACACTGCTGAGGGTGCCAAACACGTGTGGTAGCTCACTGGGGTGCTTTCATGTTCAGGAGACTGTTCTAGGGGAGGGGAAGCCCCCCCCCCACACACATATACACACTTTGTAGATGTGGCAAGTCAACTCAGAGCAAGTGAGTTGCTTCCCATGGGCTCCTGCTGCTGTGAGCACACAGTCAGCCCTCAGATTTGATAAATGAAGGGATGTCATGGCGCTGATCTATGGATCTCCTGCCTCCCATTCTGTTGTGTGCTCCCTGCTCTGTCTCCTGGAGGACTTCCGTGCGCATCGGGAAGTTAATTAGAAAGGGTTCCAGTCCCCTAACCCTGGTTGAGCCGCTGCACCCCAGGGGATGCAAGCTGCCTTCCATGCCCTTTGTGCCTCCTGAACCCTAAGTGCTGGAGACCCAAGTTGAGAGCAGAGTGAAGCCACTTGTGACTTCCTGTTTTCACTCAGCACTGAGAAGAATTCAGTTTGCTTGTGCTCCCAGAGCCTAGATGCAACCGGATGAGTCAAGGACACAGAGCCAGCCCTGAGTGAGGAGTTCCCAGAGCGCTAACCCAGGCCAGGGTATCACCCACTGTCCCCTGTCAGTGACACTCTGCCTTGAAGCTGCTTCTCCCTTCCTGGTTGTTTTTCTGTCCCTTGCATTCTCTCTGTCTCCCCTTTGCATGGCAGGGCGCTCTGGACTTGTGGTCTTGGGGCAGCATGAAAAGACAAGGGCGTGCATGGCCTGCCTTCACTGTCAGCTCTTGACCCAGAGGAAGTCAGTTCACTCGCATGGACCTCACTCTGTCTTTAAAATGGACTTGACGGCATCATTATCTTTCCTGCTTGATATTGCTTCTTTTTTTTTTATATATATATAATTAGCCTGTCAGGTATATTTTGAATGGTTGGAAGGCCAAAAGACCCTTACTTCCCTAGTTTATGTTGGGAGATCTCAGTTTAAAGAGATGCCTTGAGCCACGACTGGCAGGTTGAAAAAAAAAAAAAAGTATATTAAGCCATAATCTCTCAAGGCATTTCCTCAAGTTATTTTGTGGAATGTTCATGAAATAGATGCCTTCATTTATACACCTTGTGTTTATGTGTGAAATACAGCGTGGACATCATGGAGACACTACTCCCATTTCTAAACAATGTGGTCTGGAGGAGGTAGACCTTGGGAGAGATTCTTGTCATGTAGTCAGAGGAGTGTTTTGACAAAGGGACAGGTGATGTGGGATCTAGAGATGGCTCTTGGTCAGATAATCCCTTAGGGTTGACTCGGGTAGCCTGGGCTTTGTGGCCAAAATGCCGCTCCTGTCCTCTTGGGAAGTCTTCATTTAGTCTCCACGGAATGGGATTACTATCAAAGAGAGCCCCTCCTTTAGTCCTTTAGTTCTGGTGAGCGTACAGGTAGGAGGCAGTCCTGCATGCCTCTGGGAGTTTTGACTCATTCCCAGTAGCCTCTGGTTCCTACTTCATCTGTGTTAAAAAGCCTGTCTATGGTGCCACAAGAATTCTAAGATTAGGTCTTACAGTGGTTGCAAAGGAGGAGGATGTTGGAATCAGACATGAGTTGAAGCTTCGTTCTGGTGTGCTCTAGCTGAAGAGTCCTGAAAGACTACCTGGCCTCACCGAGCCTCCATTCTTGTGGCAGTAAGACTCCAATACTTACACTTGCCTTCTTTGGGATTAAATGGTCTTCCGTATTTATGGGGCCTGGCATGGTGCCAATCTCACAATAGACTTGCTGTTATTTAGTTGTATTGATTAGAAAAGAGTTCTCTCGTTAGTGGGCCTCTGGGTCCTCTTAGAATCCCAGGAGACGGCTCTCTGGATGGATTCTGGCCCTTGGAGATCTATTCATTATCTAGGAAAGTTAAAAATTGCCCACCCTCTGGCTGCTAGCATTTCTAGTTCATCTTCGAGTTATATGTCACCAGATAAACCATGATCTCCACCACCAGGGCACGCGCTCAGTCTATAACACTTTTTGAAATGCAAACAAACTTCCAGAGTTGCAGGTATGCATTTTTATATGTGAGAATCCTTGAAAATAAGTGTTTGCTTTAAAAAAGAAAAATACCCTGGACCTCTATAGCTGCCCCCTTATTTGATTTTTTTTTTTAAGCGAGAACATAGATGTTTATTTATTTGCTTCTGTTCTGTTCTGCAGTTAAAGAAACGAGGGCAAGGAGGTAGAATCACTCAAATAGTGTTGTCAGCTAGTAAGAAGCAGGGCCAGAATGTAAAACTAAGTCCCGCTTACTCTCTGTGCCATGGCATACAATTTTGTCATTTCCTTGGCTGGTATGTCAGTGACCTAAAATGAGTGTGTTTGGAGAATATGAGTGGATTTCAGTAAGGGTGGAACTAGTCTGTGCTGTAACTCAGACTCATAGTAAATATTTAGAGCGTTTATTAGGGTTTTGCCCCGAGTGCAGCATTAACAGGGCTTTCTGCAGCTGGCTGCGTATTTCTTTCTACATGTGATGAATAGAAGGGGAGTTTGACATGTCTTAGTTAAGAAAGAAGAGCTGATGGAATTCAAAATAGTTTTATTAGCACAAGAATAGATTGTTGGTTTGTCATTAAAATAGCCCAAATCACTGGGCAGGCCATGGTTTTATCACCAGACATAGGAATGGAAAACATCACAAGTGTTTCCCTGGAAGGTAGATATAGAGACAGGCTATGGAGTTCGAATGGTTAATGGCAGGCTTGGGGGCAGGGAGCTTTTCAAAGGTAGAGGTGATGTGGATTTAGTCTGTTGGTACAACTCTTATCCAGGAAGAGGAGAGTGAGAAGTAGCTTGAGAATTGTTCCCTAGGCTTCCCCAGCTAAGGCAGAAGCCAGCATTTCCTGAGGAACCCTGCTGCCCCAGCTGCCTCACGTGCTGAAGCCCAGGACCACGTTTCCCAGCAGTCTGCTTACCGGGTCCAGCTGAGCACAGCCGACAGATGCGTTTCTATTTGCAATTATCTCAGGGCCTGAGTCGGGTGTCTGCTTATTTAATGACTTCACTTTCTAATAAAAATTCTGTATGGCATAGATAATTAGATTTTTAAAATGAAACTGGGAAATCGAGTGCCCCGAAGAGTTTAATTGCAGTTTTATGATGGATCAAGCATTAAAAAAAATGGGATCATTCATTCCTATAACAAATGCATACCATGTGGGCCCTTGCCCTTCGCCTGCACTGGGGTGAGAACATACAGATCAGTATTCGACCATCCCTACCTTCATTTGGCTCTCACTCCAAAGGAGAAAGCTTCTGCCTAAGCTTGGCCAGAGTCATAAAACAGTGATCTAGAGGAAGAGAAAAGTGACACAGCCCAGCCCATCCTCCTCTTCTATTGAGATGCCA